AGGCAGGAGCCCACTCCTCCCCACAGGAGCTTTCTCTGGGGCTGCATGGGCACTTTCTGCTTCGTTGTTTCACTATCTAACCCGCCCCAGGTTTTGGGCTGGCAGGAGAGGAGCACGCCGGCTTCTCTTTGACAGACTCCATTTTTGAAGAGGAGCAGAACCGTGCTTATCTGCTGAAATGGCCAAGGAACATATCCACGGAGGAAGCCCAAGGAATTTTCTCAGTCTTTCGCAGCAGAAAAGACACCATATCGTATCAGAGTTGTTTCCAAATAGTATCTACAGATAATGAGGGACCTGGATCTCTAAAACAGAACAAATCACTTAAAGCACAGCAGTGAATGAAATGATACAGGATTTTCTCTTCTCTTGACATAGACTAGGTGTCATTCAAGAGATGGTGCTATAAGAAATGCAGCAATGTGTTTTGGTTAAGCATCTCTGAGCAGTTGCAGGCTGTCACCGCTGTATCGGAGCGACTGGGAATGAAACGAGCACAGGCACCATTAAATCAGGTATCACCCCTCCGTCGTCAAGAGAAGGCTTTTCACAGAAGTTTATGTGACTAGTTTGTACTTTATTGCAAACTTTCAAGCTGCCACCAGAAAGTTCGATCCTATAAAGAATTGAGTGTTCTGGCCATGATCCAGAAAACCACTTAAGGACATTCCAAAGTGCTTTGCTGGATGAGGTCCAGAGCTGAGCAATGCTCAGGAGCAAGCTCTCCACAGTAGGGGCCTTCTCTGCTTTTTTTTTTATTATTTTTTTTTATTTTTTTTTGTATTTATGAAGGAATCCCCATGATACTTTATTGCAGTCTGAGTATGATGAAATGAAACAATAGATGAGACTCCTAAAAGGAACAGACAAAACATGAAGAGAGTGAGAATAGCTCTGTAGAAATCTAATGAAAGCTCCTGCGAGAACCTCCTCTTTGGTGGAGCAGGGCAGTGATTTACTGGGGAACCAGCAGGTAAAATTTGTCTTGGTGGTAATTCAAGTTCCCTGTGAAAAATTCAGTTTCACAAGGTGCTGTTGGTTGGATCAAACAGTGCTTTTCTCAGGCTACTGGTGTTTTTTGGGGATAATTAATCTATGATGAATTAGATATTTAGAATTAAATGGTGAATTAGATGATTAAAATGATCTGTGGTGAGAAGATTATTTAATATTATTTAAGAATCTTTTCCCTTTTTGTGTCACGAAGAAAGTTCTTAAGTATTATTGTAACTGTTGAGGGATAAAGTGAATTCAGGAGAACATTTTAGGCAGGACACTATAGGTTGCACTCAAACAGCCTGTCTGGTCTTTCTGAGAAGTGGCAGTTGGTTTTGTTGAAATCAAAGAAGAAATATGATTCTTTTGACGAAGTAGGTCAGAAATACATTTCTAATGGACAATAAAATCCAAATCAGTCCTTGAAGTCCCTTTTCAAATCAACGCCTTCCTATGCGAAGAGACTAACAGTGAGTTAGCAGGGACGTGTTGAATTCCTCCCAAAAGAGGGATGATTTAATGAACAAATGGGAGCACAAAAGAAATGAAATTAGAAATCRGGGTATTGTATTTTACTCCATCAGCCTTAAAATAGCAGTTGTGAGATGGTTGCTCCTTCACTTTGGGGTGCCGGGGCTCTGCCTTTGTACAACATACGATGACGGTTTAGAGCTTGGATGCAAGAATAGCTCTGGTAGGAGATAGATACCCCTTAGCTAAGGAAGAGGGGGAGCAGCTGAGGCTGAGTTTAACAGGACCAGACTTGCCCCCAGACTTGCAAGCGCTCGCAGAGCGGATTTTTAATGCTGCAGGTGACATTGTTGCTGACTGAAGAATGTTCATCAGATCAGAAATCTGCTGATGAGCTGACTTTCCTAAAAAAGGAGTCTCACAAACTTCCCTTATAAATCTCTGCCTTTCATGCCATGCTGTGAGGTGAGCTAGAGGACTTGTGACAGATATTATTTAGGTTTTGCTTTAGTTTGTTAGGGTAATTGAATGGAGCTTGAATCTTGAAAGATCTCTTTATGGTCTGTCCATTAAATCTACATGAAAGAATGAAAATACTCAAGCATGAATTTCCCYTTAAATGTTTGCATAACTCAAAAATATACCCTTGAAAATAGTTAGCTTTCCTATAAATTTGTAGCTTTGCTGCATTAAGGGAATAATGAGGATTTATTTATAAATAGGAGTATATTAACAGAACCTGCAAGAATCTGTTACTGCGAAACTGAATATTMCACAAAGGAAGTGCCATGGCTAACTCATTCAGTGGTTTGGATATTCTTAGCAAATTTTTATAAGCACTAACAAAATTTAAGGCCTAAAAAAATAGTCTTCACTATTGTTGCAAGGTTTTCTTCAAGCTATTTGGATTCCATTTTTGAAAACTTAATTTCTAAACTAAAAGATTGCTAGAAGTGMGTGTGAATTTTGTTGCAGTTTCCATTAATTCCATTTGTAAGTCAAGCATGGCTTGAAATGGTTTTTTTCCAGGAAAGCATGATTTTTTCGACTGTGGATTATGGTTATAATTGTGTGACCAGATTCAGATTTGGGAGCTCCAGGATTTCCTTGTGTGAGTTTACCTTCTAGCTGAGCAATGATGTTTGATGCAATTTCTTTTATCTTGCTCTCTAAGAGAAGCATTTAGCATTTTAGCAAAATTGCAAAAGAATCATGTTAAATAACCAGGTAAGAGGCCCATTTTTCTGGTTGTGCCTTCACAGATTTCCCTTAAATTTCTCCTTTGCGTACAGGGAAGACTTTCTAAAGCACATAAAGCATCTGTAACTGGAATTTAATTCGCATTCTCTCTTCATGTTTCCTGGAAATCTCACAATTGTCTCTTTTATTATACTACCACTAATAATTTGCTAGTATGACTAAAACAGTACCTTTTTTACTGCCTCCTTCCTCCATTTGATAGTGGATGGATTTAGTGCCTATGAGGGATCCTTTTTAGAATGTATAAAATTGAGAGCGTTTCTCTTTCTGAGGCTCTGATCGCTGAACCTAAGACTAGACCAGACTGAAAGCTCCGATCACTGCTCTGCACTTCACAGAGCTGCTCGTAGGGCCCCCAACAGACACATACGGTTCCGGGAGATACTAGCTGCATGTTAAAATAGATATTGTGCAGTAGTGGTGTGTCTTGTTCTTTAACKTGGAGGAGTGAATGATATATTTTAAAAAGCATCAGGGGGTGATGTGCTTTGCTGTGTGTTAAAGAATAATTAGAATGGGAGATCTGGGTAAGAAAGACTTTCTATGAACTAGACCTGAATAGTTTAGTGTTATGCCTTACGTGCTGTAGGACCCTCAGAGTTGTTGAGTAGCGAAGATAAAGTAAAAAAGATAAATTGAATTAATTTATTTTGAATTTATATACATGCCTCTGCTTGCATTAATATTAAGTTCCATCCAGAATCTAAACAGAGATTGTAATCTTAGAAGTTCTCTCAATAGCATCAGCAAATCATTCTTGTTTACCCTACATGCTAATAAAACAGGAACATGACACTCCTGAAAACAAGATTGCAAAATACAGAAAATGTGGTCTGACATTTTTTTTCTCCCCARAGGAGGGACTGCCACTAACTAAAGTATTTCTTATGAAAGCTCGATTGCTTAAGATGCAGAATATTAAGAGAGAAAAACACTTTAGGACACAGCCATGTCACCAGCTGTTACTCACCCTTAATGAAATTGTTAAGTGATATTCTTCATAAATAGGTCAGAGAAACTTTTGAATTGTGAAGAATGTTTTATCTCGTTCTTTGAAATGTTTGTATTAAATTTAGAACGGGTAATTCATTAAGCTCATTAGCTCTGACTAGGAGAGAAGAGCAAAATATCTAGAATATAGATTTCAAGGCTTACAAATGTTACTGCTTACAAATAAACATGAAAGCAATGTGTGGAGAAAAAATATGGGATCATAATATGTTTAACTGTTTTTTGAGCGTAGCCCTCTGGATTAATTAAGAACATTTTATATATTCAGACACTTAAATATAAACAGAATACATTATGACTTTGTTAGCTGTGTTTTAATAGGAAAAAGGGAATGCATTATGATGAATACAGTGAAAACCAGATGAAATCATATTTTTATTTTTTATTATTTTGTTTGCTTCAGTTAGGAGAAGCATCTATCACTGCATATTGAACGACCCCAACTCCAAAACTGTATAATTTCTGCTTCCAGTTGATGTAAAAAATCTACAAAAAAAACCTCAAGGAAAAGAGAGAGGAAAAAAAAAGTGTACAAACTTTGGGGCGACCTGTTTTTAGTTGCAGGCTTGTAAGGGTGCTGCACCTTTTTAACCTAGGCAGTTTTGGTACCTTCAACAATTTTCCCGAGGTCAGTTGCAGATAGTTATATAGTCTTCCCCCTTTGCAGATAGTTATACAGGCTTCCCSCTGAAAGAGGGGAAATCATGGGAATCAAGGACCTGGTCTTTGGGAAACATGGTGGAATGAGAGTCCAATATTTTTGCAGTCTTTCAGTCATGGAGAGTTTGGAATATCTTTAAAGCATTTTAAATATGCTACGTACATTCAGTTCCATTCTCACTCATGTTCTAGCTGCTGGTTCTGTCAGTGGTTCGGGGTTGTAATGAACACCTCATCATTCCCCTCGTTCCTCGTCTGTAGAATGGGCACAGCAGCACTTAGCTGACCAAAGACTTTGAGGTTCTTGCTGCAGATGAGGTAATTCCAAATGACTGTTAGCAAWCGTTTAATTTGTAGTTTAATTTGCCAAGTTTACATTACAAAGAAACTCGTAGSTGCTAGAGGTCTTCGGAGCCTATGAGTGGTACCTCCTATGTATAGGGCTCAGAGGGGAGCCAGCTCTCACAGAAATTGGTGCTAAAACAAGATGGATTTTCAAAGCTACCTACCTCCATGTGCCTGCTGTATGTGTCTGGTGGTCCCTCTTTCTCTGCAAAGCATTTGAAACCTCTCTAAACTTAAATCCTTGTATTTTTTTTTAGGTAAATCGTCACAGAAGAAATCATTCCCAACATAACTTAACACTTGCAGACATCATTAGTACGCAGGACCACACGGTAAGCAGTTGCTCTATAGAACTGATAAATCACTCTTGGCATTTTAAATGTTTTTAATGTRTATGTTACATGTGCTTTCTTAAAAATAAATATGCGAGTCTTTGGATGCCTCGAGACATTAAGGGATTTGAGGGAGTTTTATTAACACAAAGAATGATTTTGGGACCTACAAAGCAATTTATATAGCTTGACTTTTCTGTGATACAGGACTGACGTTTCATCGGTATTAATACTTGGTGTAAAGAAATGTAACCATGTCTTTATCCTTGCTAATGTGTTTTTAATATTTATTTTTGTAAGTAAAACTGATCATTAAATTTCTTACCATTTCTTTGCCCCCCTAAGAATTTAGCGGGGAGGGAGAAGAGTGCATTTTATCTGTTAAAATAAAATGAATGAAATAAAAGAATCCATCAAAGAGATGTGGTACTTTTCAAAAAAAAAAAAAAAAAAAAAAAAAGAAAAAAAAAAGGAAAAAATAGGTTTTGAATCTCTGAAAACCTTTTGTAGAGAAAATTATGGCACTGAGAAAGGTAGGTAATTATAAGATAATTATTTGCAATATAGGAATAATTATTTTTCCTTATACTATTTAAATAGCGCATATAAGTTTTTTTGTTTACTAAAACCAGATAAAAATACAAATATATATGTTTTCATACTCTTTTATTTTTTATCTTTTATATTTATTATGAGAGATTTAATTCTCTCATAAATTACAAATTTTAAAAAATCCAATAGCTCCGTTCTGTTTTTTCTATGCTAATTCTTCCAGGGTATTTTGGGTCATTTTCTTAACCTTCCTTCTGTTGAAAAGGTTCAGTAAGGGCAGCAGCTCGGCAAGAAATGATGATATTTATTGAGACAGAAAGAAGAGAACATATTGTTAGGATATATTTGGTATGCTTTTTAATATCATCCATTTGCAGAAGGACTGAAAGTAAATTCTGACCTGTTTTGGAAGTATTTTCTTGAAAACACATTCAATAGAAAGGCAAATACTGATAGATGTGAAATCAGGGCGCATTTAGCTCTCCATACAGAGAAGAAGTAAATATTCATTTGAACCTTGAAATCCTTTTCATTTGTCTTTGTAATAAAGTTTTTTTATTATTATAATCATTCCCTGAATATTCTTCATACTATCTTAAAAAAACACTATGTACACTATTAATTAAAAAAAAACTTTACCAAAGACTAAGTTTACAGTAATTCAATGTATGTGATGTATACRAAGTTACTTTATTTAGCACTAAGAGAGTGTTCATATTATCTGAAGATCTTGCAGCTTTTAGCTGTTTAATTTAAAACAAATGCTTTAGCCACTTGAGATATGCAATTTAAAGTAGGATATGTTAGATAGCCAAGATTTGGTAGTGGATTTGATGTTCCAGCTCAAGACCATTATATATTTGCATCTGGAAACACATCCCATTTTTAACTTCACAAAATATGAGCTTAGAGATGATTCAGATCTAATATTGAAAATCACGTTTGCCTTTAGTTTTGGATTGGTTATAATAACAGTCTGGGAAGAATGATTGGTAAACTTAGAAAGGATCAGATTTTGGGTCTGATTCAAAGAAGCAATCAACAGCTTGAATTTCCAGCCAGTGCTCCTCCTGATTTCGGTTTCCAGATGGATGGAAATATTTAAAGAATAACCTTTTTTCGTGTTATTTGGCATCTCTGGCCCTGGCCAAGCATCAAAAGTATTATACCACAAGAATGAAGGTTTAGAAAGGGGGAAAAAATACTCAAARKTKKTTTTTTTTTTTTTTTTTTTTTTTTTTTTAATGCAGCTTAGAAGTAGTAGAGATCAGGTTTTGGTCTTATTTTAGCTCTAATAATTCACTCATCTATTACTAGATAAATCAGGACATTACTCTGCCCAGTAATCCCTCCATACTTTCTCCCTGGGTTTTCTATGCARTGATATGCATGACAGGGATTTGCGTGAGATAAGTACAAATTATGGAATACACACACACAAATCCCCAYGCTCCCACCCGAGAATGTCACCTGCAGCGTGCCCACAAACCAACAGACTTTTCCATAGGCACCGAGAGGTGAGCACTGTGCATTTTGTGATACGCTGTAAACCTGCAACAGACAAAATCTGTGATAAATGATTGCTAACGATGATAATATCAACCCAAGATATTCTGTGCAATCAAGTAACAAGCATCTTTACATGAAAGAATACGCTGAGTATTAAAATACATCTTGTTGCTATTTAATAACTTTGCAAATGGCAAAATTTTATTGTAACTATTATGAAATCACCTGTGACACAACTAAGAAGACCGTGTGGTCAAATAATCCTGGTCAGGTCCTGATTCTRATTTGAAAGGGACAACCAGCCCTCCAAATTTCCAAATTCCATTATATTTTTTTCTTGCTTCGGTTTCTGCAGGAACATAAGGGATGTTTTGGTAGCCTGTATAGAACCATATATCTAAGGTAGAGAGTATTATTTTCCTGGTTTAAGAAAAGTGTGTCCAGATATGTGGAGTGCAAGTCAAGGATTTCCTTCTCACATGCTAAAACTCCAGTGAAAATGTTGGTATGTTTGGCTGCAGCAACCGGTTGCAGGTTGTGTCAGAAGAGTCCTTCCCTTTCCTGTTGTATCGGGACAAACCACTAGGTTTTKGGGTTTTGTAAAAAATAAATAAATAAATAGCAGAGTAGGTGATTTACCAAGCTGTTGTACTATCGCCAGGGTGGACACATCTGGGTTTGTATAGAAAATAAAGACTTTGGGATTTTGAGATGCTGCATTTTGAGATGCTGTATTTTGCTTTGTTTATAATTCCAGGTTAAGATTGCCTGGCAGTAATTGACATAAACACTCACTATGCTTYTCTGCACGATACAGTGAGATAATTTAGTTTCACGAGCAATGTGAAGACAGGTTCTCCCAGCACCCGAATGCAAGCTCTGCAATGAAGGGYGGCCCTTGAAGGGCTGCAAGTGGCAGGTTCCTCACGACCATATCGCGACCCAATACCATGTAAAACATGAAGCCTCCTGGCATCTCGCACAGCCCTTCATTTAGTGTGGGCGCAAAGCAAAATAAGGCGCTTGAACGTGTCCTGTTGCACCAATATTTGATGTTTTGATTTGATACCGGTTGTCCCTGAAAGTGTTGGGTGTAAAATGTAAGRATTAAGAGGTTTGCACAGAAACGTGGTGTACCCTTCACAGCTAATATGTAAGCAGAGTCCAATGACTCAGTGGATTAATATATRGATACTTTGAAATTATGAATTCAGAGTGTAATTACCTTTTTGTTCTTTTTATTTTTTAATATWTTTAACTTTTTTATTGTTTGCGTTAACATATGTTTCTGCTAAGGCAGCAAATGGGATATTAAACTTTTTTTCCAAAGTTAATTCTGTTTACTAATTGACTTTAAAAGTAGTCCAGATATTTTCAAAAGAACTGGCAGGAACAGAAAGAATAGATGACTAAACTAAGAATTAGTGATTAAATGTCCTGAAATTACATTAGCTAGATGCAGACTCTTCTAGCATGTACTAACTGAATAGATTAATTCAAATGAATAAATGATATGATTATGATTTTTTTTTTTTTTTGACTTTTAGGTAGTGGAGAAAGAAGGATATCTTCTGAAGGCTAAAATAGCAGATGGTGGCAAGAAATTAAGGTATTATATTTCAGTGTTACCTTACTAGTTGTAAAATTAAGAATTTGTGTATTGTTGTCATTGCTTATAGACAAAATACATTCGTTAGAATATTAAGAAAATATGATTTAACTTTTGGAGTATTATGGCCTGCCAGGTCCAGAAACCAAGTGATATTGTCTAATGGCCTCTTCAGCCCTGGCCTCTCTGTTATAAATCCTATGTGCATGCCAGCATGAAGGCACCAGGCAAACCAAAAATATGTGTTTTAAATGGGAACATTTTGGGTGGTGGGTGTTTCTGAAGGTTCAAAGATAAGAGATAGGTGCCTGCCACGTGGTGATGCCAGATGTACAGATAGACAAGGTTATCTAAAGCTGTCAGCACTCAYTCGCTCAGCCCTGGTTTTGTTGAAACCAATCTGAGTCTTTACTCTGACTTTTTTGGAAGGACTCACTACAGTCTGGTGCATTTAGGTGTCTCTAAAGCATAACAGTAAAAGCAGTAAAAGAGAATATTACAGCTGTATTTTAGCTTTCTAGTWTTAGCATCGTCTAAGCAGAGGTTGGCTTTGGGTAGAGACTAGGCTCCTGAATGGCATTAATGGGCAATTTCTGCAATAGAAATGCCTAAATTATTTACCTCCCAATCATAAAGTTACAAACACAAGTTCAGGACAGTAGTGACATAAAAAGGAGATATTTTTTCATTTATATTTTTAAATAGGACTAAGTAGTGTAATACGTTTTCAAATAGCCTCAGAAATTGTGAGCACCATTGATGKTAATGGTGTGCTGCCATCAGGTGTTCACTTGGTAGAATGCAAATACATTAGTAACGAAGTATTTGCTTTATTGCTTCTTGATACAATCTGCAAATGTCAGATTTCGGTGGTTGAGAGTATGTTTTGGCAATAATTTCAAGGTTTCATCTCYAGAAGGGTTCATGCAATAAACTTGGTAATTCGAGCTGGGTATTTGCTGTGTACTGATATTTATTTGTCTTTATACATACAAAAGATAGGCAGTAGTGATTTATCCACTCTGTATGCATTGTATGACTTCTCCCTTTGCTTGCCTAAACATGATATTCATTACTTGGAAGTGATTTTTTTTTTTTTTTTTTTAGTAATGTTGGTAACCATATGGAGAGAAAAAAAAAGAGATATTGCTAAGCAGGCTTTTCTTGAAAATTTTGACTCTTTGTATGTGTCCAGTGAAATATGATGAATGCCCAAAACAGAGACTAATACACTTAAAACATTGTTTTAAATATTTTTATTTATTTAAGATCTGATTGACAACTTTATGGATCTCTCACTGAAAAATGTTTGAAAAAAAAAAATATGTTCTGAGTGTTCCTGAGTGTTTCTGGTTCATAAATTAGATTGTCATTGCATGACAGTTTAAAAGTAGGACTCTCAAACTGTGGTGATCAACTAGATTCACATACAAAAGCACCAAGATTATATTTTTACCTGAAACTTATAGGAAATGAAGTTTTTAATATTTCTGGCCTAAGTTATTTATTCAATTCCTCTGTTCTCTTTAGTTTTCAGCAAAGATGAACCATAAAAYTCAAATGAAATTCAGAAAAACATTGTCTTTCCTGATATTAARAGTATAAGCTTAGATAACTGAGTTTTTGTTCAATCTCAAGTTGAAAATCATGCACTTTCATGTTTAGCAATATTTCTTTTTTTCTTTTTTTTAGCTGTCCCCTAAGGATTTTAATGTATACCTTAGTGAATCCTGTTACCTATGTTATCCAACCTAGGAAAATCTGTTTAAACTTACGCTTTTCTGCATTAAGAAGAGGCTATTTTTTTGGAGGAGAAAGGGAAAGAACTGAAAAGTTGTACTTACCAATAAAAACTTGTATTCACTGCCTTCATGATGATCCTGAGCTACAGTACGCATCTCCTAAAGGATACTGTAAGGAATAACTAAATACAGTGGTGGAACTGTTTTTCATGTGGACATGCACAATCTGTGGTTATGACCATCTTTTATGGTAGCTAAGAATATAAATTTACAKTTGTAATAAATTCAGCTGAAATTTTCAGTGACTTACAATCACTCATCTTCTGGGGGAATTATTTGTCAGCGATTATCATATATTTTTTTTCTAAAATTCTACTGTTTTTTATCTTTTTGTCTCATTTTCTCATCAATATGAAAAGCAGTCCTATTTTCTTCAAACATATTAATCTCATTCGTGGAGTTGCTTAATTTTATCAGGTGCAGACTGGGTTTTAAGGATAATCATCACTTCACTTTGCATGAAATGCTCGCCACACTAAAGTGAATATATGTTTCTATGCAAATGTCAGGAATGTTAGAGATTCACCTGTAATATTAGTGATAGTGCTTCAGCTCGTGACTCCAACATGTTGAACAGGAAAGTCATTAATAGGAAGGCTGCCTATTATTATGCCTGCTGATAGGATATCGAGGGGAGCAGAGCTTTGAGGTGGAGCTGGAAGTGAGTGTCCCCAAAACAGGCTTTAAAACTAGAGAAAACAAAAACATCGACAAAAAACAAATCTGAAATGTTTAGGTTTGCAAATTGTGTTTGCGTAAAGGAAATAAACAGGGGGGTTATCTGCAGTCCTATAAATGGCACATGTTATGAGCCTAAAATCACAGAGTCAAACTTGAGACTTTTATCTTTTTTTATTTTTTATTTTTTATTTTTTTTTTTTTTGGTCCGATGAGCTTCATTTCTTTGTGATTATGTGGTGGTTTCAAACACTGCATATATTAATAGAGATATTAATATATATAATCTATATAACATGTTTTCTGTTACAGGACACGCTGTCTCACAATGGGGGACACACTGTTTCACATATTCATGTGTATTCTGATTTCTTYGCTCTATCCTCTGCAGTTTACCAGCGCTTTATTCTGAGTTTCTGCTGTTTTGTGCTTACGGAAATCTCTCTGAAATTGCATTCTTATCTTTATTTGTCTCCTACATGTATCTAATTTAGGGATAGGGAGAAAACATTTGGGCACTTCAAGTATAGACCCTTTCTAGAGCKCCGTATAGTCAAACTGAAGTTCCATCATCTTTGTATTTTCCACGTTGGTTCTTTAAAACTAGTTACTAAAACGACACCAGTCTATATATAGCTGCTCTGTTGAAATGCATTGCTGACACTGAGTTTGAGTTTGGAGCGTTTTCATTTCTGACGTGAAGGAGTTGAAAACACTTCTGCACATGGAGCCTCTTTCACTTCCTGGTTGCTTGCCTTGTTCATCTTTTTCTGTTTGTTATTTTTAGGAAAAACTGGTCCACCTCTTGGATTGTTCTTACTGCTCGGAAAATGGAATTCTACAAAGAATCCAAACAGCCCGCGCTGGCCAATCTGGTAGGCAATTAACCATCTCTTAATCTCAGCCGTTTCAGAATTGTTATTATAATATAAAAAGCTGGGAGCTTATATACAAAGATTCAGACTGTGCTGACAACTTTCCAAGATTTGAGTGCAGTTGTAGGAAAATGCCTTGATAAACTTTTAATCAGATATAGAGTGTGAGAAGAAATGGGACTTAGCATGTCCTTTATTAAGAGGTGCATTTTGAGGATAATTGCAAAGTGAGACAAATGGTGAGTGACTATCCAGTAATGTGAAGGTAACACTTTAAATTAAGGTGCCATTTATAAATGCTTTATTCTTATTTATGAAAATGATCACTAAATGCAGTCACTTCCTCAAATAATGTATTATAAAGTATGTGATAAAATGCATTAGTAATAAATGCTTAACAGATGATGCGATGAGAATCTGTTGCAAAGGATATTGTGAGACGTAAATTGTATTAAACCATGTATGTGCATCTTTAATACATGAATTTAAGTTGTTATCCACCATCCTATAAAGTGGCTTATACATTAATAAATAATAATAAACTATTTATAAATGGCACCTTAATATAGGGTGCTACCAAAGCAGCAAACAGTATAAGTTAGTAAAGTGATTTTTTTATCGTCGTATAAACGTGACATCTACCATATCCGGCTAACCTTCCTGAATATTTCCATGACTCCATCTAATGCAGCTAATGCAATTTCTGTAGCCTGTAGTTACTACAAAGTGAAATTTGCAGTACCTTTTTATTGTGCCCCAAGGAAAGGCCACTGATCTTAGTCTTCAGAGATGTGACAGCTCCACTGCACAAGCAGGAGCTGCACGGATCCCTTCAGTGCTCGTTACTGTAGAGTTTGAGCCTCGAAACCTTCGTGTGGGCAACAAAAGGGGAATTCAGTCAATGTGTGACACTGTGGGCAGCTAAGGGACAGGTTTGACAAAACCCTATTGTGAAAGGTTCCCAAGGCCTGATCAGACCTGCCACACCACATTGACATGATGGGTGGCCACGGAGGTGCTCTCTTTGGCAGGAGTCGCAAGCAATAAGCTAATTTGTGTGTGGCAGGTGATAAGAATCCTTTTTAGTTCTATATTCTTGATCTATCAATATAGTTGACCATAAACTTAGTGGGGCTTGTTTGTTTTTTTAAGAGTACCTTCTCATCTTGTTCTTTTTGGTAGTAAGGTGAGGCTTGCAAAAAGAAAAATAAAAAGGATGAAGCAGTAAAAGTAAATAAAGGATGGACACATTCTGTTCTTAAAATGTGCTGTCTGTCCTGTGCTTCTACCTGCTGAATGGGTATTGCAGTAGCAAAATCTGTATGTTCTGGAAGCCAGTTTTTACYATGTCTGCGAGTCACATCGAAGCAGCAAACACAGGCATTTGTTCTTCCTTGGGGCTGCACAAATTTCAAGCTGTCAAGAGTGTATTTTTAAAATAAACTGTGTTATCTTCTTTCAAAAAAAGCTTATAAAAATAAAGAACCTAAGATAAAGATGTATGCATGCAAAATTACCATCAAATGATGAGCTAGACATGGAAGGAAAGCCTTCACAGATGTTGCTAGTGCTCACGTGGAGGATCTGCTCCAGCGTCGTCGTGATTCTGCTGGCTGCAGCCTGCACAGCACAGGCCAGTGGGACACTCACTCCACTGGCACCTTGTGCCTTGCACACTCAGGCTTTGAGARCCATACGGGTGTTCAGGCCCTCATCTTTTGAATTTTGATGGAAGCTAAGATGTCAGGAACCTGTTAATGTGGGTAGAGACATTAGCTTTGTTTATAGATTCGTTTCTGATTTGACCCAGGACAGGGGAATCTCTTATTTTGCAAGCTATTCAAAGCTGCACCAGGAAAGTTTAGCAGTTTAGCTATTAATTTTGCATTTTATGAATTCTAGGGATTTGAAATTTGAATTTGGTGCTGTTTTATTAGCAGAACAAAAGTTGGCAAACTGGAAAAGAAACAAGTGTCCAGGCGCACAAGATTTTTGGTTTAATTTAATACTTCCACTTTTCAGGACATACTGCAGAAATGCACTTTGAGGTGAATGCTGAATTCCATTCATGGCACCTCTGTAGTAAAATAATAATTGGGAGTGAACAGCTAGATCCCTGGCGGACTTTAGGGATTATTTACAGCCTAGAAGACAACACTGTCCCTTGCTCTTKTCCACCTTTTTCCTCTCTTTTGGCCCTGCCATCCTGTGTGCACTGTGTGTCTTGTTTTGGCTGCTGTGTCTTCTCCTCTCTCCTTGCAAGGCACAGCCCAAACTCCAGAAGTTGGGGACCAGCATAAATTCAGCAGAGTGAATTTATCCATTTTACTCTGAGACTCCTTCACGTGGTTGAAACTCCTGGTAGTATATTAAGTATTTCAGCCCTTTCAATGGATGACTAGAGTAGACCTGCCTAGAAAACAGGGTTCTGGTGCAGAACTGAATCTATTTAGCTCAAAAACTGGCATGCATTATCAGAAATGATCTTCTGATAAGTCGRTCCTTCTCCCTTGTGACTCACTTCATCATGAGCATTCACATTGATGAAAAGGTCCATTGCCTTACAGCCATATTTTTCTTATTTTCAAAAGCCAGATTTAGTAGGGCAGATAGTTCACCAGCTTGCTGGAACTGCAGTTCCACATCCTGTCATCTCCCTGGCCTCATCCTCCCAGCTGTGCTGCCCTTTCTCCTTGTCCTATCCCTGGCACCTGCACATGTTAGTGTGACTTCCCTCTGTCTGACCAGACTGACCAGACATGAAATTCCCATCCTCTGGCTTCATGTAGGGCTTAGTGTTAGGAAGAATAAGGCCATTAGTCCAGYTTTTTGTTTCCTAAAATAAAAGGTTGTGGGGTTTTGTTTTGCTTTGTTTTGTTCTCTGCTAGGTCGGAATATTGGAATTGTGAACTTGAAGTTCAGTAGGCAAGAAAAATAGTTGAGGTTAAATTTCTGTCTATTGTGGTCAAATTATAGAATGATGAATAAATAAATAAGGAAAAAAGTTGGAGAAATGGGAATATCAGTACTAATAATGTCATAACCCAATTTCCTAACCCCAAATTTCACACATCAGAAAAAGCTAAACTGGCATGTTGATCTCATCTGATAAAGCAAAAGCAATGTTAGTGTCCTCTGTAAACCATTTACCCAGATATAATTTTGACAGTGGAAAAGAAATAATATAAAGGACTTCATTAAAAATCATTTGTTTACTGATCTTATTCAACTATATTTTCCTTCAGAAAAAGGGGAACTCAACCATTAATTAAATAATGCAATAAAGTCAATGTTCATTCACTATAATATGAATTATAACAAAGCATTTTTATTTATAGCAGGAAGATGATGTGACTTAGCCAAAAGATTAATGTACCTTTGTATTGTTAAGATATTAATTYATTGATTAATTATTAAATACTGTACATGAAGTTAAAATTTAAAATAATAAAGCATCATTATAAGACGAATGAAACTTCACAACAAAGGCAAAAGGGAGATGAGAGCATGTTCTGATCATCCCTCTTCTTTCCGATGAATTATATTTCAATATAATGTATACTCATATAGCATATGTACACACATATATTTATATAATATATGAATTAATTATATTCTCCAAAATCCATAGCAATATTCTTATTTCTAGGATTGGCATTAATCTAAAATCAGTTTTTGTTACACCTTTGTACAATGGTAAATACAAGACTCACTGTAATAACAACTTCCTATGGATTCARGTGGCGAAGTCGGGGATCCATAGCTTTTCTGATAAAGGTAGTGATTAGAATTATTAATAACAATAATTTGAGATAAATAGAGACCATGACCATTGGAATCACCAATAGGTGAAATTTAAAAAAATGTACTTGTTTACAAATATTACTGAAAATACAGGTCTGCTTCTCGTGTATCTATATTGGTATCTTTTGCTGCTGTTTGARCATTTATAGTTATGCTTTTGGTGCCTTCTATGAAGGAAAAAAAGAATATAATGTTTTTTAATTAAGGACATTGTGATCTAGAGTGATCACCGCTCTCTTATTACTTTCCAGAATTAAATTCTATTATCACCGGTCTTTGTGAGCATGAAAAAACGGCCTGTTTATTCAACAGAGGTTATTTTAACCTCAGGTTATTAGCCCATCTGCAAAGTAATTTAGTGAGTGAAAATGCCTCTGAAATCCATATTCATGTTTAGGAAGATTTCATTGTAACAGACACTTGTACCAATTTACAGCATAGCTCCCTCCAACAACGCTGGTATAACATATTTGCTCTGACTGGAAAACACACACCAAGGACAGGGGGAAGAGCACAGGCTTTCGTGGTAACCTTAACTTACTGCACTGCAGTGTCCCCAAATGTTTGGGCTAGGATGAACTTGCACGTGTCTTTTGTTGCATTTGCRCAGAGCCTGTTTGTCCCTGTTGCTCCAAGCTCTCGGTGGTGGAGGAGCCCAGGGGCTCTTGCAGAGCTGCTGTCTGCCTATCTTCCTGCTACCCCGAATTCATAGAACCATAGAACGCTTAAGGTCGGAAGGGACCTTTAGAGATAGTCTAGTCCATCTCCCCTGCACGTGTATGGTCACCTAGAACATGTGGCACAGGGCTGCGTCCAAGTGGGTTCTGGAGCTGTCCAGAGAAGGAGATTCCACAACCTTTCTAGGCAGCCTGTTCCAGGGCTCTGTCACACTCACTGTCAAKAATTGTTTCCTTAAGTTGCTGTGGAACTTTTGATGCCTCAGCTTGTGGCCATTTCCTCTAGTCCTATCGCTGTCCACCACTGAAAAGAGGCCGCCTCCCTCCTCCTCACTGCCTCCCTTGAGGTATTTATACACGCTGATCAGGTCCCCCCTCAGCCTCCTCTTCTCCAGGCTGAACAGGCCCAGCTCTCTCAGCCTTTGCTCATAGGGCAGATGTTCCAGGCCCCTGATCATCCTGGTAGCCCTGCGCTGGACTCTCTCCAGCAGCTCCACATCCCTCTTGTACTGGGGAGCCCAGAACTGGACGCAGTACTCCAGATGTGGCCTCACCAGGGCTGAGTAGAGGGGATGATCACTTCCCTCGACCTGCTGGAGATGCTTTTCTTAATGCACCCCAGGATCCCGTTGGCCTTCTTGGCCACCAGGGCACACTGCTGYCTCATGGTCAACTTGTCATCCCAGGTGACTAGTTTGCCTCCTGTCCTCCCTGTGGTGGGAGAGCAGCGCGCTCTCGTCCACACCTTCAGCCACAGGAGCAGGGAGCGCTTGCACCGACCTAGCTTGCCAAAACGAAAGGCTAAACCAGCTGGGTACATGGTAGGYGCCAGAGCCACCCAGGTCCTTTGTTACCTGCGTTTTTGTAGAACGCTAGAATTAAAGCTTTTTGTAATCCTGACTCAACTCTCTTTACTTGATCACTTTTGCTTAACAAATAATAACTGATTTAACTTGGCAACAGCCTTGTAAAGCTGACCCTGGGTGCTGTAGTTTTGATTTGTTATTAAAGTTTCAAAATGTTATATTTCTTGTCAGAGGCCAGACAGGAAGTCTAGGGCAGAACTGGGAAAAGAAAGAATCCTAAACCCAGCTCTTCTAGTGGTTTAGCCACAAGAACATCCTTCTGTTTGGAATAATGTATTATATTTTTCCAATTTAAAAAAAAAAATGTAAAAATGAGAACAAAGGCCTACAGGGCTGTCRGCTTTAGAGGAGCTGAACCATGGTGGGTTTATGGTTTGGCAAATAAAGAATATAATTACAACTCTGGGACTCAAAAATGCCAGAAACTATGGCTGCAAATGACTTGACCAGGATTTTATACTCTGCTTCTTTTAACCTAAATAGATCCTTTCTGCCCATCAAAAGCACTCTGGAGAACAGACTTTTTTATTTTTTTTTATTTTATTTTTTTATTTTTACTTTAGCCTTTAGTAACAGCATCAGAGAAATTCAATGAGCAATCTTTGGAAAGCTGATTATGTGGTTGATGCTGGATTGGCCATCATAACTTCTGCTGTTAAGTCTGTTTTCTGTTTTCTTTATCACCGATGTCATTTTTTTTTAAGGTAAAATGACTCAAGAACAATACAGCAAAAAAGATGCCCCCAGCTTCTTTAATTACATTATGTGGATATTACTCCATATCTTACCCCAAAAGGGACCTATTAGTGCTATATGTTGTTAGCAGCAGTAGGCTGGTTTCCTTGTTGCCTGGGATGTACAGTAACCTGATCTGTAAAGGTTAGTCTAAACTAGAAAGGCTTCGCCAGACCTGCTGCATGGGCAAAGGCCCTAGAGAAACAGTTTAGATGGCAAAYGAGGATTGTTTTGCTCTAAACCAACTCCCAGCAACATAAAGGGTCCTGGCCAACAAATCTGCTGTCTGTATTATTTGCATCCATATGAAGTATCTGGGCAGGTAGAGCTGCATTTAGGRATGTGAGATTGTCTATCATGGACTGAAGGAGCAACCTTGGGAGTGGAGAGCAACCCTATAGGCCTAGGCTCTTCCCAACATTGCATGTGCCCTCAAAGCTGGTTTTAGGAGCTTCAATTGATAACTGGCTTGGAGAAAGAAGTGGGTCTGTCTGAAAGGGTGATGCAAGCTCTTGTTTGCCTTTTTTTGTCCTTTCCATCTTTATCAGTTTAAAATTGTAGGTGAATCAGCCACAAAAATGTACCTTTTAAACACAATAGCTCTTCAAGATGTTTTGGCAAAGTAAGCAGTTAAGAAACTCACCTGATGTGTATGCATTTGTTTTGATCTATTGTTTAAGTGTGATATATCTGTCTGTTTTTAAGCAATCTTATTGTATTTAAAATTATGTGTCTAATAWACAAACTTTACTCCTAAATTAACATACTTCAGTAAGTCTGGCAGTGAGTAACGATCTCTTCTAGAGAAATTCCCAGCAGCAGCACTACAATACTGTGTCATCTGATCTGTTTTGATCTTTATCTGAGAACATTCGCCATTTCTGAAAAGTCATATTCATGGTTATTTTTTTCCTTTCCAGAAACCGGGATATAAACCTGAATGTGTGGATTTGCGTGGTGCTCGCATCGAGTGGACCCCAGAGAAATCCAGCAGAAAGAATGTCTTTCAGGTAAGAGGCAGTGCATGCATTCCACTGCTCATTTGAGGATATGGTCTCTTAAGCTAAGAGGTGGATTTTATTTCCTTCATAGGATGTTTTAATAACTACAGGCTGATTTAATACAGCATTTTTTCTTACCAATATAGGAGTGTAACATTTTATCAAGAATYGGTTTACTATTTTTCCAAGAGACAGATTTCTGATGACTGAATCTCCTTAAACACTTGAGAACCTGTTGATTTATTGATTAATGTTCTATATTCGATTTGTTTTTAAAACTTAGTAGGTAATTGCTTTGGGTTCAGGCCTAGAATCTTGACCTAAGGAACTTCCATAAACACAAATTCTTCAAAATGCTTATACAAGCATTGCTCCAACGTAGTGTGGTTACTGTGTTTATTTTTATTGCTGTTAAGGGTGCTCRGATGGTGATGACCTAGGTTCATTTCTGGAAGGGGAGGGGACGACTGAAAACGTCTACCTCTGTCACGACCAAAATAGAAGGATGTGTATTTCTCATATGTTTATCCTTTGTTGATGGATAATAACGTTATTTAATTATTTCATCTAAATTCCATTGTATTGAATGTGAGGATCAAGGCCTTAAAGGATGAAAGGATGAAGAAAGCATTATTGTGGGGTTAACATTCCAGCATCTAGAGGCTAAAAATTTTTATTGCAACATTTTTAATCTTTGGACATAACCCAGCTCCCACGAATATCAGTGGAAATGCCTTTTTTTTTTTTTTTTCTGGTTGGTTGTTTCACTAGAAGTTGCATTAAGCCACATGAAAGCAATATTTCCAATGAATTATTTGAGTTGCTACGCAGAGGTCTAGCATAAAGAATATTTAACAATATAAGCCTCCCTTTGCTGGTGAAGGCCAGAGAGATGCAGGAGGGAATATGCCAAGTACAAGGTATCTTTATTAGTTAGTCCYTTTGCATTATCCCCAGCTGGAACACACTGGAAGAACCACCAGTTTGTTCTTAATCATGTCTGAGTCTGAGGCTGTAAAAATACAAACAAACAAAAAAATCTCCAAACCAAGGAGCCTGTCTGTGGCTCCTTGGCCAACTGGGTATTTACCAAGACTTTTTCAAGGTTTATTTTTCTAGATATGTTTTTAAAGAACATGCAATATTTAGAAGTATTCCCTGGCTTCAAGTCAGTGAGACTTATGCTTCTATCCCCACCCCCACATCCTTTAGGTTGTCTTGAAACAACACTTGGAGCTTTGTCATTTCCTAGGTATTTTTAGAATAAATATTTTGGTTTTGCTGTCAATCTTCAGCTTTTTCACTTGGAAGGTGATTAAATATAACCTTAGCCTTCAGTCCTGCAACCYCTTGTGCACACTGACAGATCTTCTGAGCTTTTAGGGTTTATTTCTCATCTTGCATTAGGTAAAATTTCTATTTGGAAGTGCATATTAGAACGGTGATTCATTGAAGCAATTCTATTTCCAGTGTAAAGAAAATGAAACYGTATGCTATTGATTTACCAAAACTGGTTGTATGAAGACTTTGCAATATATTTTCTTCTCACTTCTATTAGTGTGAGGTGTAACTCCACTGAATCAGAATAACGTGAGAAAGGAAACTCATGGGCTACTGTTTGAACCCATTAAAGTGTGTCTTCATCAAGCCAATGAGTGGGAGAGACATTAAGAAATAAAGCATGGGAGGAAGGACATATGTTAAGACACATTTTGAGAAGGGATGGAGCATTGTTTAGACAGAGAGCTACATGAACATGATGCCAGATGGCAAGAGTGAAAGAGGCGAAGACTTTGGCATCAATAGTGGTGACATTTTGGGAAAGGAAAGGACTGAAGACGACTGGTGCTACATGAGGAGGTAGAGTGGGAAGGGGAATAGAGAGGGAGAGAGAGCACAGATTTATGAGATAGTCTGGAGAGGTTCCAAGACGAGCTCTAAAGCTAGGAGGTCAGTTTGTACCTGGATCCACAGTATTTCAGGAAACTCTTCTGATGCACTACTCATTTGTGTACATGGATGGGAACTGATGTATAAATATATTGTTCACAGAGTGTGCTGTTTCTTTTTTTTTTTTTTTTTCCTTTGAAATCTAAATATAGATGGTTTGCACTGCAGTTGATTAGATATATTAGCTGCTAAACTCTGAAATGATCAGAAATGAGTATGTTTGGAGGTCTTCCAAACCCGCTTGGATGCGGCCCTGTGTCCCGTGCTCTGGGTGTCCCTGCCCACGCAGGGGGTTGGACTAGATGGTCTCTAGAGGCCCCTGCCAACCTCAACCGTTCTGGGATTCTGTTTATGTCTTCAAGGCATGGTTGGTGGGGTCTTGTTTCTTCAGTTTCTAAATAGTAAAACATTCTTTCTGGTTCAAACAGAATGCTTCCTTTCTGCTAATGTGTTGTGCCAGAACTCGATGCAGAATTTTGAGTTTGATTTAGCCTGGGTGCTCAAATCGAGTTCATGAATTACAGATTAGAAATAGAAAATGACTATTGAGATTTTGGTTTGACGAGAACRCAGGGAATCTTGAGTTTAAAATCTAAGCATGTGACAGTTAACGGATCGTAACAAGAAGATGGAGTATAGGAGTATCACGAAGTAAATTAATTGGAAACATGATCGATGCAGGGAATAAAAAGAGGAAACTGCAAGTAAATGACATTCAGGCAGGAAGATTTGGGTTTCTGGTCTTGATCATGAGGTTTTCAGCAGCGTTACTCCATTCATTTTAATTGAGCTACTCTGTTTAACAGGATAAGTCTGATCTGTCTCACATAATATCCAATTTGTGCATGCAACCTATTTCAACTCCTCTTGAACGTTGTTTTTTTTCTCTAGGTTTTCTTTAACACTGCCTTAAAATACATACATTTTACAAAATACAGCAGTCTGTTTTTCCTTCATTTACTTTATTTATGATATTGCCAGCACTGAGGAGAAGAATTGGTTTGCAACAGCTTCAGACAATGTGGGGAAAGGGAGCCGTTTGCTGTGAGCTACCGCCCTGTTTGTTCTCTCTGGCTAAGTGACATGATACACTAGGTCTTCATCAGAGGACTGGTGAATAAAAGAAGATTTATGTTCAAATCACATGCTTTAAATATTTCTGCTAAGTGCTAGTTTGCTCTTTGGTGTTTAGCCTGAAATTTAAAGCACTGAGGATTAAAAGGATTACAACATAATCTTAAATAATCCTAAGTGTCATTTACAGAGAGATGGTTGTAATAACTAAATAAAACCATGTTAAGGGATGGCAGTGTTGTCAGTCAGCAACTGGAACAGAAACTGTGCCTATGTCACTCTCYTCTTTCCTTTATTTAGTTCAATTTTATATGGAATAGATGGGTTTTGGTTGGAGTTAGAAATGAGGAAAATAACAACATGATGCCTGCTTTGTGGGCAGTACTAATCTGGTGGCTAAGACATTGGTAATGAGATTAGTTTACATATTTTCTCGATAATCAATGTCTTCTGCTTCTAGTAAACTTTTCATTTGGAGATTATTCCTTCCCCTGTTTTTCTCACTTTTAAGTCAAGAAGCCCTTTTTTAAATATCAAAATCTGGAAGTCATTCTTCTGACCTATGGCTGCTCCGTTCAGGGGCTTCAGTAGCACAAAAGCTCTTAGACGGAGAGTACTTCCTTTTCGGGAAGATCCAAAAATAATCCTTTTGCATGATTCCAGAAAGAAAAGGGGGGTAAACAAAATCCCAAAGTCACCAGCAGCATGCTCATGAATCGGTGAAGCAGATTTGTTCTCTTCCTAGCACTATTCATTTAATTATCACACTTTAAAAAAAAAAAAAAATTACTATGTCTTATGTGATACGTTTTCCCCCTTTGCCAAGTTCAGCGGGTTTCCAGGGTGGGATTTCTGGAGCCTGATGCCCTGGCTCTTGCCACAGTTTGAGTGTGATGGTGCTTCTCTCAGCAAACAGTAGCCGTTTGGGGTTACTGATTCATGTACAAATAAGTATTGTAAATATATTCTTGTGTCCCCTAATGAGATACTCGGTGTTCCAACAGTGTGACACTTGAAAGTACAACTGCACCTACGCCTAACATGGAACAATTTATTTTGCAGCAATTTCATGCATGCTGTATGTATTTCAAAACATTTATGATACTGATTATGATACCCTTATCCCTGAAGTTTCTCATGCTTTAAAAACATGACCTGAATGACAAATTCTTTTGTTCCATCTACTGTGGGCTCACTATAGGATCTCAATCCTCCCCAACATGGTTTAAGCTCCCACTTTTTTGCCATGGCAGAATTGTTTTCTTTTTTTGTGATCTCTGTAGAGGAATCACTGAGAGTGCCATGTGGAGTATTTTGGAAATGCCTAAGGAATCTGCCTGTCTTTTCATGTTTTTAAGTGGAAAGACTGCACAGGGCAGACAAATCTGAGGAAGAGCTTGCGCTGGGATGGAGAAGGATCTTCTGCAAGTCATTCTGGTTAGACACTTTGGTCTGTGCTCTGAAAGGGCCCGAAAACCGTTTTGTGTCTTCAGGCGTTAAGTACTTTTCTCTGCAGTTTGACACTAACCTTTCCAAGCTTTGGATTAGCTTTGCAATAGAATGAGCTGCACCTGCTTTAGAATCTGCAGAGTATTTTGTCCACTCCTGCAGTTACTACTGGGTTTCTGGTTTAATTTCTTTCTCAGGGATCTGAATTTACTATTGCTTAATTAAGAAACATAGTCACATCATACAATTAGTGATGGTGTCAGCAAGAGTTACCCTAAATAATAAACTTATACTTAGTTAAAAGTGGGCACAAGAAATCCCCACTTCTTAGCGTTGTTTGTGTGTTTTCAGGAGTGAGTTCTCCTATTGGAGAGCAGGGTGGTGTGGCTTCCTCTTTGTACTGGATTTTAAGTTTTCTCACTGTCTTTTATTGACTTTGCCATGTAAATCACTACTAGAATATTCAGTGAAAACTCAAGCATGGGTGCACACAAACTCCTGTTTTCTCCATCTATCCACTCTTGTCTTTTGTACCA